TCGGACCGGGGTACGCAGTTTACCTCGCGTTTCTGGGGTGCAGTTCAGCGAGAGTTGGGCACACGGGTTGAGTTGAGCACAGCGTTTCATCCTCAGACGGACGGTCAGTCCGAGCGGACTATTCAGATTTTGGAGGATATGCTCTGAGCCTGTGTCATAGATTTTGGAGGCTCGTGGGACCAGTTTTTGCCTTTAGCAGAGTTCGCCTACAACAACAGCTACCAGTCCAGCATTCAGATGGCTCCATATGAGGCATTGTATGGTAGGAGATGTCGGTCTCCAGTGGGATGGTTTGAGCCGGGAGAGACTCGGTTATTGGGTACAGATTTAGTTCAGGAGGCCTTGGATAAGGTCAAGATCATTCAGGAAAGGCTTCGTTCGGCTCAGTCGCGGCAAAAGAGTTATGCGGATCGTAAGGTTCGGGATGTAGCTTTCATGGTTGGTGAGCGGGTCTTGCTCCGAGTGTCGCCTATGAAGGGCGTGATGAGATTTGGGAAGAAGGGCAAGCTTAGCCCCAGGTTCATTGGTCCATTTGAGATTCTCGATCGTGTGGGAGAGGTGGCTTATAGACTTGCCTTGCCGCCTAGCTTGTCAGCCGTGCATCCAGTGTTTCATGTGTCCATGCTTCGGAGGTATCACGGCGATCCAGCCCACGTGTTAGATTTCAGCACTATCCAGTTGGACAAGGATCTGTCTTATGAGGAGGAGCCGGTAGCTATTCTAGACCGGCAGGTTCGACAGTTGAGGTCGAAGAGTTTTCCTTCAGTGCGTGTCCAGTGGAGAGGTCAGCCTCCTGAGGCATCGACCTGGGAGTCCGAGTCTAATATGCGGAGCCGTTATCCTCATCTATTTCCCGACTCAGGTACTTCTTTCTTTTGTTCGTTCGAGGACGAACATTTGTTTTAGAGGTGGAGAATGTGACGACCCAAAGGGTCATCACCTGTTTTCTCACTCATCCTGTGTCTCCGAGGCCTTGAAAACCTCATTTAGGCTTGCCTCGATTTGCGTGCGCAGTCCGGCCGCGTAGCCGGAAAGCTTAAATATAAATTCTGTGTAAAATTGATGAATTTTGATATTAATATTATTAAAGTTGACTTTGGTCAACATTTTGGGTAAACGGACCCAGACCCGTGATTTGACGGTCCCGGAGGGTCCGTAGAAAAATATGAGACTCGGGCATATGCCCGGATTCCGAGGTCTAGAGCCCGAGAAATGAATTTTTCTGTGAAATTATTTTTCTGAAATTGATATGGAAATTTGAAACGAAAATTGATTAGAACGTGATGGTATCGGGCCCGTATTTTGGTTCCGGTGCCCGGTGCAGGTCTTATATGTGATTTAAGCGATTTCTGTGAAATTTGGTTAAAATCGGACGTCATTTGACGTGTTTCGGACCTAAATCTTTAAAAAAATGAAAGTTTATGAAGTTGATGAAAAAGTGATGATTTTGAGGTTTAATTCATTGAGTTTGATATTATTTTGGCGATTTGATCGCACGGATAAGTCTGTAGGATGTTTTTGAGGTCGTGTGTATATTTGGTTAGGAGCCCTGAGGGCTCGGGAGTATTTTCGGAGGTGTTCGGGGTGGTTTTGAACTTAGAAAAGTTGCAGAAAATGGGTTTCAGCTGTTGCAGACAATTCCTTCTTCGCTTTCGCGACGCCTCTTCCGCGTTCGCGATGCCTTGAGTTGGTCCTTCATCGCGTTCGCATTAACCCCATCGCGAACGCATAGGGTTATTTGACCCAGGGGGGTTTGGCCAAATTTTTCCTCTCCGCGTTCGCGTACAGCCCCTCGCGAACGCGTAGCCTTACAAATTCCTTCATCGCGTTCGCATTAACTCCCACGCGTTCGCATAGAACAAATTCTGAATCCCCAGCTTTTACTCTTCGCGTTCGCACCCCCTTAGCTCGCGAACGCCGATGGCCTTTCCAGTGATACCCTTCGCGAACGCGACCCTCCTGTCGCGAACGCGACCCTCCTGTCGCGAACGCGAAGGGCATTTTATCCCAGTGATTTTAAATACCCCAAAACAGAACAGTGACGGGATTTAGTCATATTTCACACGGTTCTTCTTCTCCACAGCTCTTGAGCGAATTTTTGAGCACTTCTTCACCAAAGCTTTCTTGGGGTAAGTAAATTCCCACTCATTTCTTCGTCTTCCTTCATTAATTAATGAGTTTCTAAACCTAAATCATGTAATCTAGGGTTGAAATTGGTGGAAAAGGGTTAGAGTTAGGCTTTTCGATTTTCTTTGATTTTAGACCTCGTTTTGGGGTCGAATTTGAAAACAAATTGTATATCGGGCTCGTGGGGGAATGGGTAAACATGGAATTGGTCCGAACCTCGTGTTTTGACCAAGCGGGCCGGGGTCGATTTTTGGAATTTTGGGGGAAAAAGCTTTAGAAAATTCATATTTTAGGCATTGGGTTTAGCTATTGTTAATATTGTAAGTCATTATTTCATTAGATTTGCCTGAGTTGGAGCCGAATTCGAGGGTAAAAGCCTATACTAGAGGCTTGAGTTGAGTTGGAGCATTCGAGGTAGTGTGTTTGAATCTAACTTTGACTTGAGGGAATAGGATTAGAGTATTATTTGCTAATTGCTAAATGTTGGAGTACGGTGTATAGGCATGGTGACGAGTATCTATACACGGCGTCTAGCGATGACCGTGAGTCCTTATTTGTGCTTATTTAGGATTCTGTAGTGACTCTTCCTTGTTTATTGATGGTTTGCTATATAATGTGAACAGTATGAAGAGGAAATATGACTTGTAAACTCCTTGGAGCGTTGGCTCGAATTATGACTTGGTTAGGAAGTAAGAAATGAACGAAAGAGAAAGAGATGTAATTATTCCCTTGCCGGGAACTGACTGTTTACTTGTATTCTCCCTCGCCGGGATAGTTGAATTGATACTTGTTCCCTTTCCGGGAAACCATATATATATATATATATATATATATATATATTATGAAATGGGATCGTGTGGCACGCCGACCACTTATATATTATGAAATGGGATCGTGTGGCACGCCGACCACTTATATATCATGAAATGGGATCGTGTGGCACGCCGACCACGTATTCTGTGCTAGAAGAGATTAGTTGTAGTTTTCCTTATTTATTCCTACCGTTCTATTTTATCTGTTATCCCCAAAAGCATGTTCCCCTCCCAGTCTTAATTATTACTTTCCGCCGTTAGTTTTGTAGTTTTTGTACATATATATATCTGCACAGGTTGATTGGTAGTCCTGTCTAGCCTCGTCACTACTTCGCCGGGGTTAGGTCAGGCGCTTACCAGCACATGGGGTCGGTTGTGCTGATGTTACACTCTGTGCATTTTTTTGCACAGATCACAGTACCGGAGCAGGAGCTTTTGGACAGCAGTAGGAGCATTGGGAGCTGACTTCAGTCCAGAGATTCCCGAGGTAGCCTTGCTGATGTCCGCATGGCCCGGAGTCTCTCTTATCCTTGTTTTTCGTTTGATTTCCTTTGTATCGGATCAGACAGTACTGTGTTTTATTCAGACTTTGTATTTAGCATTCTGTAGAAGTTCGTGAGTTAGTGACACCAGATCTGGGTAGAGATGTACTCGTGCTTCCGCACTTGGTTTCAGTTATTTATGTTTTGAGACTTCCGCTTTTATATTAATTGTCTCGTCTTTCTTTATATTGTTGATGTTGTCAAGAGAGGTATTAAATTAATTGGCTTGCCTAGCTCCTATTAGTAGGCGCCATCACGACTCCCGAAGGTGGAAAATCCGGGTCGTGACAAACACTATATGTCTTTATATATATTTTTACTGTGCTACAAAGTGAATATAAATAAGGACTTATTCAATTGGAGTTAGCATAAAGCATAATCACAATTAGATATTATTTTGGCCAAAACTCCTAAAATTAATCAATCATCCGAGAGTAATACATCACGAGTAAACTATATAAAAAACTTTGTACAAACCATAAGTTAATATAGTTAGACAGACGTACCTTTAAAAGTCCAACATGGTGTTTTAATATATAGGGGAATATAGTTCAAGGGGATTTTGGGGACACCAGATAGTTTAAGTAGGTAACTGACAAAAAAATGATAGTTTAGGCGGGTTTTAGGCAGAGTTAAATAGCCACGTGTAGTGCTACATGACACACTTTTTAGATTATTAGGAGCGTGTTCTATATCACCTCTAAGAATGCAATGAGGGGTTTAATATGAAGGGCATTATAGCTCAGCGGGGTTTTGGGGACACCGAATAGTTTAAGTAAGAAATTGATAAAAATATGATAGTTTAGGGAGATTTTAGGCTATTAACTCTTTTCTAAAATAAACAAGTAAACCTACTACATAATGGAAACACATAACTAGCAATGTAGAACTTTCCTTTAGAAAAAGAAAAAAAAAAACTAACTTACATTTTAGTTATTGCAGTTTGTTTTGTGTTGTTTATTTAGTTATAGAGTTTGTTTTGTGTTGTTTATTTAGTTATAGAAATTACGAATAATTTTCATTACATGTAGTTGAGAATGTTTGATTTGAAAGGTGTAAGCAACTGAATTATATTAAAAGGATGTGCAGAGTAATTTACTCGAAGAGATATACTATACATAAATCAAATCACAACTTTTTTTGGTTATATCTAAAAAAACGTTTGAATACATTCCTGCAAATAATAAGTTCCATAAAATATGGGACAGAGAATACAAATTTATGTTCTTCAATTTTCTGTAATCACGTTATAATTCATCAAATTCTAATGAACAATGGGTACACAAAATATGTGATCTTATATTTTTGGTAAGAACACCAAAATTGTGTTTAAGTTGTTAAGTAACAGTTAACTCATTGAAATAATGCTCTAATTCCAAGTTCCAACTGACAAGAAAGAATTGCTTACTCTATAAAAGAAAACTGTCACATGGTTTTATTTACCCTATTTCTTTCTGCCTCTATATTTTCAAAGTAGAAGAGAAGAAAAGCTCAATAGCTCGCCCGTTAATTTCTCGAAATGGCGAAATTGTTTCTCGTAGTACTGTTATTACTACAACCTTATTTAACCACATCCAATTTCGCATCCAATCCTGAAACTAAGAAAAGCAGGCTTGTTATAAAAATGATCCACTATGAATCAATCAAGTCGCCTTTTTATAATCCAAAACTCACGCTCGAAGACCGTGTGAGAAAAATGAACCAAAGATCAGAAGCTCGCATTTCAGATCTTATGGTTGTTGTCTCAAATATTTTGAAAAAAGATAGCGTTGAAGTTCAGATTTACCCAGTTTATGGCGCTCAGTTTCTTATTCCATTAAAGAATGGCACACCTCCCGTGCCACAAATTCTTATCATGGACACGGGCAGTTTCTTACTTTGGGTCCACTGTGGCTTCACCATTGGTGGTGAAGGCTCACCAGCTCCATTATACCACAATGCAGATTCTTCATCGTATGTTGAAGATGTGTATTGTGGGACATCTATGTGTGATTTTTTGACCCTTAAAGGCACATGCGGTGTCTCGAGGAGATGTGACTATACCTTAAACTATGTGACAGGTAAGACTGAGGGACATCTTGCTTCTGAAGTTGTGACATTTCAATCAAAAAATGAAAGCGAAGAGACCATCAAACGTCTTGTTTTTGGATGCTCAAGTATTTCTCGAGGTGTAGACCGTTGCAGTGGAGTTCTTGGACTTGGACAACGACCTGTTTCATTGGTTTCTCAACAAAACTACACTGGATTTTCATATTGTATCGGTAATATAAGCGATGTGAATTATGATTCGAACGCGCTAGTTTTGGGAGACAAGCCTATAATTGAAGAAATATCCACTCCGATATTTATGGTTCTGGGAAAATACTATATAAATTTGGAAAGAATCAGTGTCGGGGACAAGTTTCTTGACATCGACCCAAGTATACTCAAGAGGATCGATTACCAAGGTGGAATGTTCGTTGATAGTGGAGCAACTTCAAGTTACTTACCTGAGATAGCATTCAAGAAATTGAAGGAGGAAATTAAATCTGTGATAGGTACGTCGTTGAAAGAAGTTACCAAAGGCCCGGAACAACTCTGCTACTATGGAAATATCGACCGCGATCTTCAACGCTTCCCAAAGATAACATTACATTTTGCTGAAAATGCAGATATGGAGCTGACAGCTGAAAATTTGTTTCACAAGGCAAGCAATAACCATTTCTGCCTGTCCGTAAAAATTTCTGAAGAAGAAAGGCTTCCTTTTAGCATACTTGGTGTTTGGGCACAACAATATTTTTATATCAGCTTCGACTTTGACAGCATGAGACTTTCATTCTCTAGGATAGATTGTGACTTTCTGTTTGATTGATCATTGTGCATAGAGAATAACTAAAAGATAATGAAATGTTTATTGTTTCTATTCTCAATATCTTTGTGAAACCATAAGCAATATATAGCAGCAATGATAGCCTCGCTCATTGATAATAGACAATGATTAGAATTAATAAAGAAAAGTAGAAGCAATTAGAATCACAATTGATAGACAAAGGAATATGTAGCCTTTTGGCTATGAATCCAGGACTTTTGATACAGAATATAGATATGTGTTAAACAATACTAAAATTTCAACAAATATTAAATTTGAATCCATAATTTTAAGAGTACACTGAGTTTAGTATAAAGTTGAATCTATTAGATATAAACCCACATCTGTTGATGGATGATCATAGTTGGATCAAAAGCCAAGCATATTACTTCTGATGAATCTTTAGGTGGAAATAATCTGAAAGGCCTTTTAACATGGGAAGCACTGTCCTTAACATTCTTAGGGAAGGCTAAATGACATATATGTTGTGTTAACGCAGTTTCATTGTTGTTGAAAATTGGAACTTGTTTTAGAGCTTCGTAGAATTCTGATACTGGCCATCTATTTGTTACCTCATAACCAAGGAATAGCATATCGAATAGCTCGTTGCATTCATGGATAGGCCAAAAACTTTCTTCAAACACTTCTTTGGACATTGGAGTAAATGAAAGCTTTACGCAATTTTCTATGCGTTTGTCTGTCCATCCAATAGTCGATGAAAAGAATATAGAGAGGAGAATTATGACTGCGACAAGACTGAATCTTTGAGCTTCCATCCCAGTTTCGAAATACCAAAGAAAAAGAATAATAACAAGCTAATATAGAATGGATGAAATTATTTCACCCTTAACAAGAGATTTCGAATGCAACCTCTCGGAATGAAAATATCCGTAGTGGAGAATGATTGAGAATACAGGATTTGGTGCTATGGACAATGATGAGTAAATATTTTCGTGTTAGTGTAATTCAACGTAAACTTGGATTAGGATTCTTCTTAGGCTTAGCCCACTTTTGATACAATTACAACTCGTAAATAGGTGTCCGTTGCAAATTGGATAATTACATTATATAGTTCCTTTTTTTTTAATATTAAATTTGCAGAAAATGACCCCAATATGACGACACATAGCAGGAATTGACAATTTTTTAGCTTTATATTAGGTTTGGCAAAGAGAGCCCCAAACAATATATATATATATATATATATATATATATATATGAATAACCAATAAACTCGTAATATACAAACCCCTTCATACTCACAACCGCTTCTTTCACACCTATTATCTATTCTCTGTGTTCTTTTGCTTTCTCTGTATTCCTCCATCTGTTTAATACCATTCTCTCCCTCCTTACTTTTATGCCCATCAACTGTTTGAAAAAATGCCATACCAGTAACCCGCTGTTTGAAAAATGCCGTACCTGCCACCCGGAATTAGCAACTACTGTTGTTCAATCAACAGTTGCCGGTATGTAATCCTTTCAAACATAATCGTTACTAATTATGCTTAGCAATTCTAATCTAATCAACAGATATATTCTCCTACTCTAATTCTATTGAAAGAGCATGATTGGCATCAAAAATATATATAACTAATAACTGATATCATTCACGTTGTTCGAATCCGCTGGAGGTTGCCTTCGCTCTTTAACTGATAGAAGCATTAAAATTGTGTATGTGAAGAGGTCTTGTGGTGTACTTTCGCATTTATATTGTAAGAACAATATGTTAACCTTGGGATTTGGTTCTTGCTTTTGTATGCTACCAGTTAATATTTGTACTTTATGTTGTATGTGAATAATTATTTTCTTCTATGTAAAGTGCCAATGCACCGAGTGCTCTCTTTTCTCCTCTTCCTTTTTTTTTTTGGTATTTTTTTTATCATTTTTAGTTTTTCTTCACTTTCTGTGTGTTCACGCAATTGTACTGCTCCCTCCGTTTCAATTTATGTAAATCTATTTCCTTTTTAGTCCGTGCTAAAAAGAATGACCTCTTTCCCTATTTGGAAACAATTTACATTTATGCAATGATTTATAGCCACACAAAATATATGTGCTTCATTTTACACCACAAGTTCAAAAGTCATCTCTTTTTTCTTAAACTCCGTGCCCAGTCAAATGGGTTCACATAAATTGAAACGGAGGGAGTATAATCTTATTTGCCTACTCTATCTAACAAAATACCACGATATAATTTTGATATCATGAGTAACTGATATATTTATATTTGCCTATTCTAATTCTGTATGGGTCAAAATCAAATCAGAGAAATTCGGCATGCAGAGAGAACAGGCCGAGGTCGGGCAGTCATCAATACGGCCGAGGTCGGGCAGTCATCAATAAGGCCGAGGTCGGGCAGTCATCAATAAGGCCGAGGTCGGGCAGTCATCAATAGGCCGAGGTCGGGCAGTGATGAAACAGCTAGTTTGCTTTGAAATCCTCAAAAGGAATATTCTACTGAATATTCCCTCTAATTGTACTTTTTTAGGGTTTTCTAGGGATACCCTTTATAAATAGGAAGAGAGGACTTACCAAAAAGGGGGCGGGGGGGGGGGGGGTAAGGGGCGTATCTCTCCCGTCCTCTCCTCCTCTCTAGAAATAATGTAACACACCTCTTTCTGTGATCGCCATACCTTCATCAGATCCAAAAAGGGTCACAAGATTCTTGTATTTGTCTATCATTCATCTTTATGAAATGAATGAGGATCTGCCTCACTCAAGATTGCGTAAATCTTTTCCTTTATTTATATTTTATTGTATTTAGTGTTACTTAATGCATCTCTCTTTATGCTATTAAATCTGGCCATAATCACTGCCAGCATTTATACTCAACTATGTTCTTCTATTCATATTATTCATCTCGGATCTAGAATTAGGATTCACCCTCCATCTTCTTATTTAATAAGCAAAAAAGGTCTCATACTTTTTTGCTCAAACAAATTCCACTGGAAAAAATTGTTGTTTCTTGCACCTAGAATCAGCAACTAATGTTTGACTCAACAATCCAACCGTTGCACATTGATTAGAAAGTAGGAAAGTCGCTTCAGTTATATTATCCTACGGCAAGTATAACAATAACATACAGCCAAAAATAACTCTATGCTTTTAGCCTGTGTGGGGTAAAGATACTAATATACTTGGCTAATCTAATTGTAATAGGTGTGGAGACACAAGGATTGCAACGACAAAACACCGTTACGAGATTGAGGTACACTCCAAATAATCTTCACTAGGAGCGGCAAACGGGCGGGTCGGGTCGGATATGGTTCGGGTCGAAAACGTGTAATGAAAAAAACGGATCAAATTATCCGACCCGACCCATATTTAATACGGATAAAAAATGGGTTAACCGACAGATAATATGGGTTGCCCATATTATCCATGACTTCTTGTATATGATCACTTTTGGGAGAATTCTTAGTCTCCCTAACTTGAGGAACTCCCAATTTGAGGCTTTACAAATGTAAAAGTTAGACCCATTGGTTATCCATTGGTTACTCATTGGTTATCCATTTTCTAAATGGATAATATGGTTCTTATCCATATTTGACCCGTTTTTAAAAAGTTCATTATCCAACCCATATTTTAGTGGATAATATGGGTGGTTAACTGTTTTCTTTGAACCATTTTGCCACCCCTAATCTTCACCACTGCAATTTATGCACAATTCATAACTACTCTTTCTACACAATTGACAACTACTGCTCTAAACATTTTTAAATACTATTACCATAATTATTAGCCTAATAAATAACTATATTGATATTATCTTTTTGGTAATAAAGTCCGACAACGTCTTTGATCTTTCAATAAAGATTATAGTACTTGTGTTGCCTTTTGATGGCCATGAACTCAATTTTACCTAGTTTATTTTACTAGTTTCTAAATACGTGTGTTGCACGTGTATTACATATCAATTGTTACATAACTTGTAGCAATAAATCTGTCCATACGCCAAAGCTAAAATCTTTTGGATCTAAAAAAAGATACTTTCTTAATTTGAACATTATAAATGACCATGAAGGGTAAAGTTCTAAGAGCCCACCAATTATCCTAATTTTGATAGATACTCAAACCGACGATGTTAGAAAAGTGCTGTGGATTTGAAAGATCCCTTGGGGTGTTAACGTACATCAAGAAGCTGAGTCACCCCTTAACTGGTGAGAATGATGACAAAGGTTACGAACAAATAACTAAGGCAACCAAGATATCATTTGATAAGTCCTTCAATACAGAAATAACACCGAAGAGAAGATAAAAACGAAATAAACCAACGGGATTTGACCTTAACTCACCTCCCAAATTGCGTGAAGAAAAAACCTTTCAACACCATGATGAATTTTGCTTTGTTCGACAAATAATCAGGTGAATAAAATCTAGACCAATGAAAGGGAGAATTTTAAAACGTCATCGCAGATTAATGAGAATGAATATATATATAATTTAAACCAAATGTTGTTTTCATCTTAATATTTTATGATTTTGGATGTCCTATTATGAGAAATAATGAAGTCCGTATATAGTTTGTTTGCTCTAAGCATTGTTGGGTGTTGCTCCCAAACGCATACACAAGTATACGTGGTCTATAAGTAATATAGGATTGTAAGTCCAGATATCGTACCCACAGGGACTTGTGATTAACTATCAACTAAATTAAACCAAACAATTAATCTGTTCAAGCGATTCCTAAAGTATTAATATTTAACTATAATTAATCTAGAGTAACAAATTAAGAGATTAAAGAAACAACGACAAGCTTAAAGACGAATTCAATGTGAGTGAATATTCTAGAGCTATGGGTTAGCTAACAATCCCGTTGAGTCTTCCACTTAAATCGCCTAATTAATTATCTAGTTTATTGATTGACAGGGTTAATATTGCTCGTAGCCTTCTCCCGAAGTACAACTCTCCTGTTCAAGATAACCTAACGCCTATATTCCTATGGAATTAGAATTAGCAAGAATGCATTAATAATTCCTGTATAGTAACCAAGCAAGGCGATT